GATGTTATCTCCCCTTATCTTGTCACTGTCATGGGGTGGACTTTTTTTTTTCTTGCTTCAAGGGAACAATATTATTACATCTTCTTCTTCTTCCTCCTCCTCCTCCTCCTCCTCCTCCTCTTCTCCTCCTCCTCCTCTTCCTCCCCTCCTCCTCCTCTTCCTCCCCTCCTCCTCCTCCATTGCTTTTGGTCTCAAACTCCTCCAAATCATGAAATTGATCTTCACTGACACTTCCATCTGTGTTAGAGCATCACTTGGGAAGAGAAGAGTCCCAGATTTGCTGGGGAATCACATATTTCTTACCGCTAGACATGCTGAAAATGGACAACTGAAATGGCATTCCCACAATGCACCACTGGCTCCCCGATTTTTTTTATATGGTGCACACTGACCATGGAGACCCATTCTCTCACATGAGGGCCTACCAGCTTTCTCCTGCTTGATTTGAAGCTGCTAGAATTTATGCGTATAAATACGTCAGAAACATTGGCTGGTAAGACGTATTTATAAGTCGGAAACAGTCAAAGGGTTAATCAGGTTACATTCTCTAATGAATGTTCGTATCTGGTGAGGAAGAGCTGTCAGGAACTGGTCAATTCCTGAGCTCTCTATCCAAAAGTCGAACAAACGAAAGAGTGTTACCTGTAACTGCTGAAAGTTTTGGGCATGCTGTAAGGTGGCCTACCTGAAATCTTTCCTATAGGAATTTGTGGTTTTTTGATATGCTTTAAGGATTGCCTTCTTCAGTAGGTTATAATTACATATGATACCCTGCGACCAAGTTGCATATTCAAAGCTGTACCAGAAAATAACATACCCAACCTGGTAGCCCAGGTATCAGCAGGTCATTCACAGAGGGTAGCAGTATTTTCAAACCTGATAATGTATGAAGTAATGTCTTCCCCCTCTGTGAAGGGAGGTAAATTAGGTGTTGGAATATGTGCATTAGCTGCATGATGTTCCATTACTCCTTCCTCTAATTGTTGTTGTGAAAAAGTTAACTTTTTATTCTCTAATTCAAGGCGAGATTTCTCTACCTTGCGATCTTTTTCTCTTTCTTTTAATTTATATTCTCTAGCTCTTTCCTCACATTCTCTAGCTCTTTCCTCAACTTCTCTATCTTTTGCTCTTTCCTCAAGTTCTCTTAATTTAACTTGTTCCTCAAGTACTTTAGCTCTCTCCTCACGATCAAGTCTATCACGCTCCTCTCTTCCTCTTTCTTGATTTTCTTTCAATTCGATCTCTCTCCTTTTTCTCCTCTCTCGATTCTTTCTCCTTTTTCTCCTCTTTCTCTTTCTGTCTTTCTTCTCTCTCAATTCTTTCCTTTTCAATTCTTTCCTGGATCTTAGCACTAATGAAAGCTTCTAAATTTTCCCCTGTTATTCCTAACTTACTCCCAACGTTCATCCAAAACTGGTATTCCTCCATACTTGCAAGAATAACTTAAACTACCAGGGGAAAATGAAACAGATATATCAAAGAAAACGGAGGGTTCTATTCCTGCTCTGCTCAAACTGTAAATAAATCGGAGGGTTCAATCCCTGCTTCGATTAAACAGTATATGTGAATGAAAACGGAGGGTTCTATGCTGGCTCCGACCAAACAGCAAGTAGAATGGGGTCCCTTGACCATCCAATCTTGTCACCAAAAAATCAAGAGTGTCCTACAACAGTTCCCTTGATATAATAAACAGAGCTCAATGAAACAACTTGTCACTGGAAAATCTCGGGTCCATAGAGTCTATTCCTCCAAATCGTTTCAAGCTTGAGAATAAAGGTGACAGAATTAACTAGTATATCCTGCCTTGACTTGACTTACAATAAATTGAGACTATAACAATCACCATATCTTTTAAATACCTGTACTGTAGTCCTACCATAGAGAATGATTACTCAGGGCTGGTGATAACCGTCTGTGGTATGCGGCGTTGAAGTTCCAATGGTAGATTCGAGATGGAGTTGAATCTTGATTCGGCCGAGTTGATCCTGGCAAGGTCGCCACTTGTGAAGGCTTACTCAGCCCTGTAACAACTTCAGACAGTATTACCAAGGCTGGCTCCTCCTCAGGAAAATTAATGAATAGAAAAAGAAATAATAATTCACAAAGATAAACACTTTATTATTTAGTAATGCAAAGATAAAACATTGAAACATGAATGTGTATCCTACTTGAAAGAAAAATGAAAAACGAAAAATATAAATGATATCTGAATCCAAGGCTAATATGTACAGTTAAACTGGGGTGTGTGGTTGCTGTTGACACCGTCGGGTAGAAATTGTAGCCGTTGCTGATGTGGAAGAGGGGGGTCACAGGTGTTGAGTGACAACCCAACGACTAGTTCTTCACAGAGTCTATAGCCTTGAATACTCAGTCCAGATGACAGGAATGCAGGTTCTTTACCACTGCAAAGATGAGGAGTAGTTGCCTGCTGTTGACTTCAGTCCGTCTCCTTCAACACGTTTCTTTGGTTGGCAGATGACCCGAGCTGTCATTCCAAGCTGGAAAGAGACAAAGGTTACCCACTGCTTAAGAAATCACTCTCCATGATAAGTACAATACCTAAAAGAAATGGTGATTATCTAAAAGCATAACATGGAACTTGAGAGTGAAAGGACTAAGTTTATTATTGGTCAAAAGTGAAGCTTTCAACCAATATATCCACTAGAATAGGAGCAGAGGTTTTTACTTACAGTTGTGCTGAGAGCTGTGAGTCAAGTGATTACTGTTTGGTCCGAGCCCCACACGTCACCTTTCAGGGTGGAAAAAGGGGAAGGGGAGGGGATAGTGGGAGCTAGACTGACCCTACCTTAACAAGCAGCCAGCAATCAAACTATCGTCACCATATACTTGCTCGCTACTCCTATCTGTTGAACTTTTCCCTCACACAGAGAAATAAACATTTGTATTTGTATTCTTCATCACTGCAAGGAGCCCCCTTGAAGAAGGGGCTATAAGAATAAACCTTATGGTATACCTGAAGAATCTGAACACATGCTTATAGTACAATGGTGTTTTTACTGAATAAAAGCATAATGTTGACAAGTGGGAATAAACACATTATGTAGATTGTTGGTGAAATGTTTCACCCATGAATGTGTTTATCAAGTGCTTCATGAAGCCTACTTAAGGGTTAACCTTTAAACTATCCAAACGTATATCTACAATGATGTGTGTAGTGCTCCGAACGTAATCTACGTCTAATTTTACATGCTTTCAAATGGAGAAAATAAAGGTCGGAGTGTTATGCACGTCAATGTAGATCTACATTTGGACAGTTTAAGGGTTAAAAACTTCACTGTCTAAAACATCATTTTTAGGTCATCCCATTGTGGTAGGATGACCCAAAATGGAAGTAACACTTTCACCATCATTCATTCAATACCATTATGGTGTTTATGGAAATATAATATCTTTGAACTTACTGATACAGTTACACTGGAACTTTTTTGATACAGTCTCAGTCTCATTATGTATGTGCTAAAATATAATACTGTAACTTGTTATTCAACTACTTGTTAATTTAATTACTGCTGAACCACTACTACCTCTGTTGATATATAAAAACAACGTTCAAGTTGAACCAACTATGATATATATGTTTAGTATTAAGTAGTCTGTAAAGCATTATGTTTAGTTGGCCTGAAATACCTTGGCTTTCTTTACACTTAGCAAATCAATCTTGTAATTGCACATTGTTGTAGGTAGTAGGTTGGTAGACAGCAACCGCCCAGGGAGGTACTACCGTCCTGCCAAGTGAGTGTAAAACGGAATCCTGTAATTGTTTTACATGATGGTAGGAATGCTGGTGTCTTTTTTCTGTCTCTTAAACATGCAAGATTTCAAGTATGTCTTGCTACTTCTACTTACACTTAGGTCATAGTACACATACATGTACAAGCATATGTATACACACCCCTCTGGGTTTTCTTCTATTTTCTTTCTAGCTCTTGTTCTTGTTTATTTCCTCTTATCTCCATGGGGGAGTGGAACAGAATTCTTCCTCTGTAAGCCATGCGTGTTGTAAGAGGCGACTAAAATGCCAGGAGCAAGGGGCTAGTAACCCCTACTCTTGTATAAATTACTAAATTTAAAAAGAGAAACTTTCGTTTTTCTTTTTGGGCCACCCTGCCTTGGTGGGATACGGCCGGTCTGTTGAAAAAAAAAAAACTGCACATTGTAAACTATGCAAAGAAATAAAAATTTGAATTTGAATAAATTATAATGTAACTTGTTGATAGTTATGCTGGAACTTTTTAATTAAGTTATAATGAAAAAAAAAAACACTTTTTGTGTAAAGCTTTATTGTAAATTATACATAAAAAAATATTCCAGTATATCATTTTAACACAACATATAAAATATAATGATCAATGGCTACAAGCCTTGATGAATGGTTCTTGATTCCAGGAACTGGAGCTACCCTGCCACCTTCTCATATTAAAATGGATTGCCTCCCACTTTCAAGGTGCTGTATGACCCATACAGGTTTAGCACTTCCCTATGAATATCATAACTCGCTAAAGTTAATATGATTTTTCTTGCTACTGAAAAAAGATGTTGATCCATGGTGTTGTCTGATCCAGGATCAACTCTGGTTGGTGATACATGGTGTTGTCTGATCCAGGATCAACTATGGTTGGTGATCCATGGTGTCTGATCCAGGATCAAGTATGGTTAGTGATACATGGTGTTGTCTGATCCAGGATCAACTATGGATGGTGATGCAAGGTGTTGTCTGATCCAGGATCAACTATAGTTGGTGATCCATGGTGTTGTGTGATCCAGGATGAGCTGTAGCACATGTTAAAACTGATACTCACTAAAATCAGTTACGAGAGAAGTATTTTTCTGCACCTAACATTCACAAGACAGTACTACCAGTTATAAAGCTCTTGGGAAATGGCAGGCACATTATTACAGGTCGACCATCACTAATCCGGCATCATTGGGACCTGTAAAGTGCCAGATTAGTGAGTTTGCCGGATTACAGAGTGGTTAGGTTAGAATACACTTAATTAACTTATCAACAGACTCTTTCTGCTACATCTTCCTCATTTTCATCACTGCTTTCTCCTCCACTGGTTTGCTGCTGTGGATTTAACCCTTTCAGGGTCCGTCATGTAGATCTACAGCTTTACGTCCAAACCGTAGATCTACGCCATGAGCTCAGCTCACTCTAAGCTGTGAGTGGTAAATTTGGGCCTAGATATGAGAGAATACATCTATGTGGTATGTGTGCACCACATAAAACAAATCCTGCAGCACACAGTATATAATGAGAGAAAAAACTGAGACCGTGATTTTTGATTAAAACAGCAACTTTGCAGTGTTTTTTCGTATGTTTTTTATAGTTGTATTTACGATTTCTTGGTCTCATTTGATGGAATGAAAGACATATTACAGAAATGGAGATGATTTTGATTGGTTTTAGTACTGGAAATGGCTTGAAACTGAGCTCAAAGTAGCAGAAATGTTAAATTTTTACCAATGTTCAAGAGTAAACAAACGACCTCATACGTCTAATACACACCAGCTGGTGGGTCTAATATACATTCACAAATGTGATGATGATATTCATACAATTATTACAATATTGCATAACAGTAAATCTTCTATTTCTTGGTTTGAATATTCATTGTGAATAAAAAATCAAAATGGAATTCATTTGTAAAGCCTGAAAACATAACTAATGAGCAGAGGAAATGTTAGTTTAGTGCCAGAAATGCCTGCATTGTTTATTCTGGACCCTATTTTGAACTTTGTGTTAAATTGGCCAAATTACCAATTTCCGATCACTTTATTTTGTAGTTGAAACAGTTCATTGGGCGATTTCTTGTGCTCAATTGATAGAATAGAAGTAATACTAGTGAATTAGCTAAGAATTTGGTCGACTGGAATAATGTAATTGGCCTAAAATGGGAGTCAAAGTCGGCAAAATCGCCAATTCGTAAATATCGCTGACACATCAAAATTCGCGAGAGCATAATTTCGTCAATTTTCCATCAAATTTCGTACTTATTGTTTTATTACCTTCAGAAAAAGATTCTCTACCATTTCATAAGAAAAAATAATGCATTTTTTTTTTTAAATTCTTGGACACTGGTGCACCCTTTGAAATTTGGCCTCTGGACTTTGAAGGGTTAAACCTTCTCCACAATTTCTGAGTCAGTATAATGATGAAATTTGAAATTATGCTAGCCAAAATTAGTGCCGGATTATTGATGGAACCGGATAACTGATTACCGGAGTAGTGATGGCCAACCTGTATTATTATTATTATATGGATGTGCTCAGCCCAGAAGGTAGTCACTACCTACCATACTAAGTCATACAAATTCATAACTTTATGCACGATAAGAAAGTGAGATCTGGGAGATCCGGTACATTCATTACCTTTGCTGATGCTTCATTTGGGTAAATTTGTCATCCTCAGTTAAATTTTAATGAAACGGTAAGTCACAAACTGCCTATACTCAAAGAAATTTACAAAAGTTGCAACTCATGCAACAGATGTTGTTGTTCAACTCACAAACAGCTCCTGCTGTAAAAAAAGTGACTCAGAAACTGTTAAAGTTGACACAAAGTGACTCACAAACTGTCCATGTTGACACAAAGTTACTCACAAACTGCCCATGTTGACACAAAAGTGACTCACAAACTGCCCATGTTGTCATACAACTTCAGTTTTTCAGGGAAGTTATCCATAAAGAGAACAGGGTCAGCCCTGAACTCTACAGTCTTTAGTGGCATGGTACCAAAGACCTCGGTGAAGTGACTGACGCACTGTGAGCGCTCCACCATGTGAGCCTCGTTGGCAGACAGGTCACCACTTGTACACTCGCCGCACTTGAACTTCTTTCTCGGTGTGACCTGTAACAGACAAATATGAATAAATGCAAGTACAGCACTGCTTGAATGTCATTAACCCAAGAAATCATTCTGTGGATTAACAGTCAGATATGCATGTTAACCATTTTTTTTTTTTTTTTTTTCAACAAGTCGGCCGTCTCCCACCGAGGCAGGGTGACCCAAAAAAGAAAGAAAATCCCCAAAAAGAAAATACTTTCATCATCATTCAACACTTTCACCACACTCGCACATTATCACTGTTTTTGCAGAGGTGCTCAGAATACAACAGCCTAGAAGCATACACATATAAAGATACACAACATATCCCTCCAAACTGCCAATATCCCAAACCCCTCCTTTAAAGTGCAGGCATTGTACTTCCCATTTCCAGGACTCAAGTCCGACTATATGAAAATAACCGGTTTCCCTGAATGATGGTGAAAGTTTTTTTTTTTTTTTTTTTTTTATTGCATGTTAACCATATATTGAATAAATTAAAAGGGGAGTGTTAATAAGGCATGACATCAGTGAATCCCTGGTGTTTGCCATGCTCCTTGCTCTATCTGGCACTCAATTGAACTGGTGCTCCCACAAGGTACAGTGGACCCTCGCATAACGCTATTAATCCGTTCCTGAGAGCTCAATGTTAGGCGAAATTATTGTTAGGCGAATGAATTTTCCCCATAAGAAATAATGGAAATCAAATTAATCCGTTCCTGACACCCCAGAGTATGAACAAAAAAAATTTTTTACCACATAAAATTATTTATTATTTTATTATCACACCGGCCGATTCCCACCAAGGCAGGGTGGCCCGAAAAAGAAAAACTTTCACCATCATTCACTCCATCACTGTCTTGCCAGAAGGGTGCTTTACACTACAGTTTTTAAACTGCAACATTAACACCCCTCCTTCAGAGTGCAGGCACTGTACTTCCCATCTCCAGGACTCAAGTCCGGCCTGCCGGTTTCCCTGAATCCCTTCATAAATGTTACTTTGCTCACACTCCAACAGCACGTCAAGTATTAAAAACCATTTGTCTCCATTCACTCCTATCAAACACGCTCAAGCATGCCTGCTGGAAGTCCAAGCCCCTCGCACACAAAACCTCCTTTACCCCCTCCCTCCAACCCTTCCTAGGCCGACCCCTACCCCGCCTTCCTTCCACTACAGACTGATACACTCTTGAAGTCATTCTGTTTCGCTCCATTCTCTCTACATGTCCGAACCACCTCAACAACCCTTCCTCAGCCCTCTGGACAACAGTTTTGGTAATCCCGCACCTCCTCCTAACTTCCAAACTACGAATTCTCTGCATTATATTCACACCACACATTGCCCTCAGACATGACATCTCCACATAAAATATTACTTTTAATACACACAAACTGAAGAAGACATGCACATTTACATGACACTTACCTTTATTGAAGATCTGGTGATGATTGATGGGATGGGAGGAGGGGAGAGTGTTGATGGTCTTAGTGTTTAGAAGGGGAATCCCCTTCCATTAGGACTTGAGGTAGCAAGTCCTTTTCCGGGGTTACTTCCCTTCTTCTTTTAATGCCGCTAGGACCAGCTTCAGAGTCACTGGACTTCTGTCGCACAACATATCTGTCCATAGAGGTCTGTACCTCTCGTTCCTTTATGACTTTCCTAAAGTGGCTCACAACACTGTCAGTGTACAGGTTGCCAACATGGCTTGCAACAGCTGTCTGAGGGTGATTTTCATCCATAAAGGTTTGCACTTCAAGCCACTTTGCACAGATTTCCTTAATCTTTGAAGGAGGCAACTTCTTCAATTTCTCTCTCCCCTCCTGCGAAGCAGTTTCCTCAGGTGTGGCCTCTTGCTGTTGAAGTTGATCTAGCAGCTCATCAGTGGTTAGTTCTTCATTGTCCTCCTCCACCAACTCTTCCACATCCTCCCCACTAACCTCCAACCCCAAGGACTTCCCCAATGCCACAATTGATTCCTCAACTGGCATATGCCTCTCAGGGTTAGCCTCAAATCCTTCAAAATCCCTTTTGTCTACACATCCTGGCCACAGTTTCTTCCAAGCAGAGTTCAAGGTCCTCTTAGTCACTTCCTCCCAAGCCTTACCTATAAGGTTTGCACAATTGAGGATATTAAAGTGATCTCTCCAAAACTCTCTTAGAGTCAATTGAGTTTCTGAGGTCACTACAAAGCACCTTTCAAACAGAGCTTTTGTGTACAGTTTTTTGAAGTTTGAAATGACCTGCTGGTCCATGGGCTGCAGGAGAGGAGTGGTATTAGGAGGCAAAAACTTCACCTTAATGAAGCTCATGTTCCCACAAAGTCGCTCAGCCAAGTCTGTAGAAGATGACCAGGGGCATTGTCTAACACCAGGAGGCACTTAAGGTCTAATTTATTTTCAATTAGGTAATTTTTCACAGTGGGGGCAAATGCTTGGTGTAACCAGTCATAGAAAAAGTCCCTAGTGACCCATGCCTTACTGTTTGCCCTCCACAGCACACACAAATTAGCCTTGAGGATATTCTTTTGCCTGAACGGTCTGGGAGTTTCAGAGTGATACACTAATAAAGGCTTCACTTTGCAATCACCACTAGCATTGGCACACATTAACAGAGTAAGCCTGTCTTTCATAGGCTTATGTCCTGGGAGTGCCTTTTCCTCCTGAGTAATGTAGGTCCTGCTTGGCATTTTCTTCCAAAACAGGCATGTTTCATCACAATTAAACACTTGTTCAGGTTTCAGTCCTTCACTGTCTGTGTACTCCTTGAATTCCTGCACATATTTTTCAGCTGCTTTGTGGTCCGAACTGGCAGCCTCACCATGCCTTATCACACTATGTATGCCACTACGCTTCTTAAATCTCTCAAACCAACCTTTGCTGGCCTTAAATTCACTCACATCATCACTAGTTGCAGGCATTTTTCTAATTAAATCCTCATGCAACTTCCTAGCCTTTTCACTTATGATCGCTTGAGAGATGCTATCTCCTGCTATCTGTTTTTCGTTTATCCACACCAATAACAGTCTCTCAACATCTTCTATCACTTGTGATCTCTGTTTCGAAAACAAAGTTGCACTTTTGGCAAGAACAGTTTCCTTGATTGCTGTTTTCTTGGACACAATAGTAGTGATGGTTGATTGGGGTTTACTATACAACCTGGCCAGCTCGGAGACACGTACTCCACTTTCAAAATTAGCAATGATCTCTTTCTTCATCTCCATAGTAATTCTCACCCTTATTCCTGTAGGGTTGGCACTAGAAGCTTTCTTGGAACCCATGGTCACTTATTTTGCAGGTGAAATCACTAAAAACGCTGTAATAATACAAAATGTTCCGATTGTATGCTTGGATGTTACCGCGGAGGCTGACTTGTAAACAATGCCACCGGCGGAACATGTGAGGCTGGCTCAGGCTGCACATAGACGCGTCTCGGACGAATCACGCTGAGCGAGCTTTTTAGCACTATGCGAGGCAAAATTTTAGCGATAAAATGTAATGATAGGCGGATTTAACATTATGTGATGCCAACGTTAGGTGGGGGCCCACTGTACTAAGCGGTCCCAGATTTTTTTTAATACTGCTCACACTGAGTGTTAAGACCCATTCTGTACTGGCCAGGCATCTCAGGCCAAATGTCCCAAATTTGGAGGCAGGAAAAACAAAACGTTGATCTACATTTGGAGCGCTAGCAGTAAGAATGTAGATCTATGTTTGGACAGTTAATGGGTTAATAAGGATTGATATACAGTGGACCCCTGAGTTTCGTCGGCATTGAGTTTTTCGTGAAATCCGACTTTCGGCAAGTTTTTCGGCAAAATTTAGCCTCGCGGTTCGTGATTAGACTTGTGATTCGGCGACCATCTAGTACCCGTCCGCCCATCACCGCTCACACAAAGCCAGTCTCCCGCACCATTCACACTCAGTGTGCCATTGTTTACCAGCACATGACCATCACCCCGCGTGTTCATACAATACATTTCATTATAATCCATTGTTTTTTGTGATTGCAACTGCTAAGTAAGTCACCATGGGCTCAAGGAAAGCTAGTGCAAGCCCTTTGGTAAAGGAAGTGAGGAATACGATCGAATTCAAGAAGGAAATTATTGAAAAATATGAGAGCGGAGTGCATGTTACAGAACTTACCAGGATGTATGGCAAACCCCATTCAACTATCACTTCGATCGTGGCGAAGGGAAAGGAAATAAAGTGTGCTGTTGTTGCAAAAGGGGTAGATATGCTGACAAAAAAAGAGATCGCAAATCCTCGAAGAAGTGGAAAGGTTATTGTTGGTGTGGATTACCCAAAAACAGTTAGCAGGAGATAGTGTTATGCAGTCGATAATATGTGAAAAGGCAAGGGAGTTGCATGACGATCTCGTAAAGAAAATGCCTGCAACAAGTGATGCTTGTGATTTTAAGGCCAGCAAAGGTTGGTTTGAGAGATTTAAGAAGCATAGTGGCATTCACAGTGTGATAAGGCATGGTGAGGCTGCAAGTTCTGACAAAAAAGCAGCTGAGAAGTTTGTACAGGAGTTTAAGGAGTGCATAGACACTGGAGAATTCAAACCCCAACAAGTGTTTGTGATGAAACAGGCCTCTTTTGGAAGAAAATGCCAAAGATGACCTACATCACGCAGGAGGAAATGGCACTCCCAGGACACAAGCCAATGAAGGATAGGCTTACTCTCATGTTTTGTAGCAATGCTAGTGGGGATTTTAAAGTGAAGCCTTTACTGGTGTATCACTCTGAAAATCCCAGAGTGTTCAAGAAAAACAGTGTCGCCAAGAGTAATTTGTGTGTGATGCAGAAGGCTAACAAAAAGGCATGGGTCACAAGGGTAATTTTCCGAGACTGGTTTAATGAAGTGTTTGGCCCCAGTGTGAAGAAATACCTCCTGGTAAATAAACTGCCACTCAAGTGCCTCCTGGTAATGGACAATGCTCCTGCTCATCCTCCAGACTTGGAAGAGCAAATAGCAGTGTTTCAAAAGTGCTTTGAAGTGACCTCAGACACTGAACTGACCC